CGACGTGTTAAACCACGGAGTTGCAAAGAGACCTGGTTCCCTGGTTCACATTGCATCGTCCCTTGGGGAGGTAGAGATGGAGCATTATGCGCCAATACCCCTGCAACCTAGTGTAGATTTGGGGTCTTTGCGTTCAAGGGGGAGAACTTCCACACGGTTTGCGTGGGTTTGACGCACCCAGAGGTTCTCCGCGCTTGCCAATCGGGGGTGCAGAGGGAAGCGAAGTGTTTGGGTTTGATGTATCCTGGACGCTAACCACAGGTGGGATTCAAATTCTTTAACAACCGGTTCTGTGGGTGTGGCTTAGGTAGTGGGTGTGGCTTGGTGGTCATGTGACTGGGTGGGCGTGGCCAACTCAATATCACTCACATCGAGGCCCGCATCTCCTCACCTGGCCTCTCATGACTGTGGGGATTTTGCAACAGTCGTAAGTTTGAAAAACGGTCATAAGTCACTTTTTTCAGTGCCATTGTAACTTGGACTGGTCACTCCACACAAGCAAAATACCAGCAAAGGAGGGGAAAACAACTCCAGAGAAATTCCTGAGACAGGAAGTCTAGTCCTGCCAAGAATGTAATAAGGGTTAACGGACAGGCAGTTTCTGTAAGTAACACCAGAATGTTTCCTTCCTGCCTTCCTGACAGGATTAGCCCTGTAATTTCTTCTAACAACCGGTTCGCCTCGATGTGAGTGATATTGAGTTGGTCATTCAATTACCTGACCACCAAGCCACGCCCACCAACTAAGCCATGCCCACAGAACCGATTGTTAAAAAATTTGAATCCCACCCCTGGGTGAACCTATGGCACATGTGCCGGAAGTAGCACGGAAAGCCATTTCTGCTGGCATGCGAGCCGCCACCCCAGATCAGGTGCACTGAGCATGTGTGTGCACCTCCCTCCAGCCAGCTGATTGTTAGGTATCTGCCGTGCATGCCCAGGAGGGGCAGGGCGCAAGAGAGTGATGTGAATGCATGCCCAGAGGTGAGACAGTCCACATCGGGGTTGCGCACATTATGTGCAGAGACACAGGGCACACACATGCACAGAGACATGTGGTGTGTGGGAGGCCCATGCACGCATGTGCAGAGGCGTGTGGCACACACACGGGGGTGACATGTGCTATGCAGCGGGGCGGTTGCATGCGCAGTGCATTATGGGTGCAGGCATTCATGCGTACGCTTTCACACACACACACTCACACACACACACTCTCTTTCGGCAACGCCAGGACAAAAATGTTAGCCATCACTGACTATACAATCTATACATAACTATTTCTCTACCTTCTATATCTATTATATACATTTTCTTATTTCTATTGTCAATCCAATGATACCATTTCTCCAATATTGCACAGTATTCTTAATCGACTTTTCCTTTTAATTCCACGGTCAATTTATCCATTTCCGTGCACTCATGATTTTTATTTTTTAATTACTAAACCCACAATTAGCCCCCACCCGCAATTTTCTAGAGGCAAGCCATTCCACGGTTTAATTGTTCTCACTGTTAGGAAATGATTCCAGATTGCTTCTTTCCTGGATTAGTTTCCATCCATTTCCTTCCTTCCAGAATCACAGGACTGCAGGGGACCTCAAAGGTCTTCTAGTCCAACCCCCCCCTTCTTGTCCTGCTTTGGAGAATAGCTTGACTCCCTCTTCTTTGGGGCAGCCCCTCAAATCCTGGAAGACTGCTCTCCTGTCCCCTCTAATCTTTCTTTCCATTAAACTGGACACCCCCAATTCCTGCAACCATTCTTCCTACATTTTAGCCTTCATCATCCTTGCGAACAGAGCCTAAATTTAAGGGCATATCCCCCCAAGATGTCCGAGCGACAACTCTACACTACAACTTTCCGTGTTGTGTTGTGTTGTGTGGCTGGGGTCCTATTTCAGCTCCGAAGAACGAGCAGCCCGTCGTAGCTAGACCAAACGATGTGGCAGCCTCCCCGCACCCGCCATGTGTGGCCCTGCGGGCCTTCGCATCACACCGAGGTATTTTGAGGTGCACAGATAAGCAATGATGGACCAGGCCATGTACGGCAGGGGCCGCCAACCGTTTGGATCTCAGGGACCCTTCAAACTCATCCTTTTAAATCCCGCGGGCCAGAAACCTTGGGAAAACCACCCCCCAAAAAGTCCGCAGGAAAATCTCCCACCCCGTTTTCCTACCGATCGATCGTTCTTTATTTGGGATCGCAGGAGACCGTCTCCAGCTCCCTTCTCAGGGAGAGAGGGAGAGACTTTTGGCTGCATGCAAGGAAATCAGCAGAAGCCGCAAAAGTCTTTCTTTCTCTCCCCCAAACTCCGCCAGAAACGAGTCTTTGCCGGCGCAGCCTCTTGGAGCAGGAGGCCTTGCAGGGTCCCAAAGACTCCTTTCTGGCGGAGTTTGGGGGAGAGAAAGAAAGACTTTGGCTGCTTTCCTTGCGTGCAGCCAAAAGCAGAAGAAGAAAGAAGCGGAAAGAAGCAACATGGTGGCCAGGCCAGTCGTGTGAGGCGAGTGGGGCAAGTCCCCCTCCTCCACCCTTTCACCCCTCCCCTCACTATCTCATGTTGTTCGCAATGCAAGCAATGCAAATCTTGTGTTCCTGTGCAGCCTGGATTATTTGCTTTGGAGGGGACATTTCTCTGCGGACCACCCAAATTTTCTCACGGACCACCAGTGGTCCCCGGCCCACCGGTTGGCGACCACTAATCTACAAGGTCTCCATCATTGCTGGTAGATCGTGCCAAGGAGCCCGTTTCGAAGAAGGGCAGGGAAAAAATATTTTGGATGTGATTAAAACGGGTAGATTTTTACTCTTTAAAATCCATGCCGGCGAACAGATCCTGAAAGAAAGGATCCGGGGAAGCTGCTGCCTTACAGGTAGTCCTCAACTTACAACGGTTCGTTTCCCGACAGTTCCAAGTGACAAATGGCACTGGCGGGGGAGGGGAAGAAAAAAGGTGACTCGGGGCCTTTTTTTTCACGCTTAACGACCGTTGCAGCCTCCCCTTGGGCAAGGCGATCGAAATTCAGAAGTTGGCCCCTTGCTCGTATTTTTGACGGTCGCAGTCAGGGGTGGGATTCAATTTTTTTTTGACAACTGGTTCTGCGGGCAGGGCTACGTGAGCGTGGCCATGTGACTGGGTGGGCGTGGCTTTTTCCCAGCACGCCCCCCCCCACTGCAGTGGTTTTTTTTTTGACTCCTGGGCCTTGGGGGAGCCTCCGGGGGGGGGGGGTGGCACCCAAAGGGCACCCCCAGGCCCCAGGAAGGCAAAAAATGGGGGCTGTGGGGGGGGACCACGCAGCACAATTCATGCTCCATTTTGGGGCCTACGCCCTCCCACCCAGGAGGATTCCCTGAGGCCCAAGAGGCAAAAAAAACGGAGCGCGGGGGGGGGGCGCAGTACACACACCACACACACACACACATACACACACACACACACACACACGCTCTTTTAGCCTCCTGGGCCTCAGGGAAGCCTCCTGGGCGAAGAAGCAGTAAGATAGCAAGGGGGAATCCCAGCACAGCTGATCACTGGAACAGCTGATCGTCGTGAAGGGGAGGGAAGAAATACCTCCTCCTCCTCCTCCTCCTCCTCTTTCTTTGTGCAGCACACACCCTTCGCACACACATACAGACACATACCCGCATGCCCCTTTTTGCCTCCTGGGCCTCAGGGAAGCCTCCTGGGTGAAACAGTAAGACAGCGAGGGAGATCCCGGAACAGCTGATCATTGGAAGGGGAAAAAGAAATTTCTTCTTCTCCTTCTCCTTCTCTTTCTTCCTCTTCCTCTTCCTCTTCCTCTTCCTCCTCCTCCTCCTCTTCTTCTTCTTCCTCTTCCTCCTCTTCCTCCTCCTCCCTCTTCCCCCTCCTCCTCTTCCCCCTCCCCCTCCTTCTCTTCTTCTTCTTCTTCTTCTTCTTCTTCTTCTTCTTCTTCTTCTTCTTCTTCTTCTTCTCCTCCTCCTCCTCCTCCTCCTCCTCCTCCTCCTCCTCCTCCTCCTCCCCCTTCGCCTTTTCTTCTAATTCTAATTCTAATTCTTCTTATTCTGCTTCTTCTACTCCTCCTTCTCCTCTTTCTCCTTCTTCTTTTGCAGCAATCCCCCCCTGGTTTTTTTAGACCCAGGATGGCAAAAACCAGAGCGCAGGGGGGGCGCACAGCGTACACTCCACCCCCGCCCTGCCACATGCACCCATTTTTGCCTTCCCCAGGGGAAGTCAAAAAAGTCAAGATGGCCTCCATGAGGATATCCTCTCTTCCATCTTGACCTCTTTGACCATCCCTGTGTGACCATCCCCAGGGAGGAATAAAGATAGGAATCAGAATAGAGCTGGAAGGGGCCTCGGAGGTCTTCTAGTCCAGCCCCCTGCTTCAGAAGGACATATCATTTTGGACAAGTGACTGTCCAGTCTCTTCTCAAAAACAACACACACACACAAAACTTGGCATGGATTTTAAGAGAAAGTTAATCAGGGGAAACTGAGGAATTGCAGGGGAATTTATGCTGGGGAAAATAATTGCACGTTTGGAAAATAATTTATGGCACAGAATTTATTTTTATTTTGCAATCCTAAACGTCCTTCCTTTTGCTATTCACATGCACCCGGTTTCATGGGGACAAATCTGCTATTTATAATATATCTGCTAATTGTATATTTATAGTTACATCTGTAATTAAAGTTTAAAAGCAGGGGAGGTATCATATCAAAACAAAGTCGAACTGCAAGCTTTTTAAAATGTTAAATCGTGCATGCAAATTTTGGTGTTTTGATGGCTGGCTATTGTCAATCCAGGGGTCCTCTACCAATGATATTAAACCCAATCTGTTTTCCCCCACCCTCAAAAAAAAATCACCATCCAATACAGGTAGTCCTCGACTTACAACAGTTCACGTAGTGACCGTTCAAAGTTACAGCAGCACCGGAAAAAGGACTTATGACGGTTGCAGGGTCAAAATTCAGGCACTTGGCAACTGGCGTGTATTTTTTTGTAACCTTCCCGGCCGGCTTCCAACAATTATTTGCTTAATGATGACATAATTCGCTGACCAATTGCAGTGATTCACTTCACACCATTGGCCCAAAAAAAAGAGAGGGGGTTGTAAAGTGGAGACAAAACTCACTGAGCCACGGGCTCGCTTCTCCCCCTTAAAACATTTGGGGTTCAACTTGCAGTCGTAACTCAAGGACTACCTGTGCTATGCCGTAGGGAGAACATCGGACGACTGAGAGCAAATTTGGCATCATCTACCGCAATGCGCAACTTTGTGCTCTGTTTCCGGAAGTGCCAAAGGCTAACCATGTGTTATTTTCTTCCCTTAGTGTGTGGACAACCCAGCCGCGCTCTGCCCACCCTGGTCAAACGAATAATCGGCGGGAGAAACGCAGAACCTGGCTTTTTCCCCTGGCAAGCTCTGATCGTGGTCGAGGACACGTCACGGGTGCCCAATGACCGGTGGTTCGGCAGCGGGGCCCTCTTGTCCGAATCGTGGGTGCTGACTGCCGCCCACGTCCTCCGTTCCCAGCGACGGGACAACACGCTCACCGCCGTCTCCAAAGAACACGTCAATGTCTACCTTGGCCTTCACGACGTCCGGAACAAAATCGACGCGGTCAACCGGACGGTGGAAGAGATTATCCTCCATGAGTCTTTTGACATCCAGAATTACAACCACGATATCGCATTGGTCAAGTTGAAAGAGAAGGTGACCATGGGACCTTACATCATGCCGGTTTGTGTACCTCAGGATCCGCGGGAGTCGGGAGGACCTCAACCCAACACGTTGGGCTTGGTGGCCGGTTGGGGCATCTCCAACCCTAACATCACGGTGGATGAGGTGATCAGTTCTGGGATGCAGACTTTGTCGGATGTCCTTCAGTACGTGAAGCTACCTGTGGTCCTCCACGAGGAGTGCAAGACAAGTTACGAGTCCAGATCGGGTAACTACAGCGTGACAGAGAACATGTTCTGTGCTGGTTATTATGAAGGAGGGAAGGACACCTGCCTTGGAGACAGTGGAGCCGCATTCGTCATCCGAGACTTGGACAACCAGAGGTGGGTGGCCCAAGGATTGGTCTCCTGGGGTGGACCGGAAGAATGTGGCAGCAAGCAAGTCTACGGGGTTTACACCAAGGTGTCCAACTATGTGGACTGGCTGCAGGAGAAAACGGGGTGGGACTCCCTGGATTCCAATCTGGAGGAGAGATGAACCGGATGAAGGTGAGACCCAACCCAAGGACCGAATCCTGTGTTTGAAGAACCTCAACCAAGCGCGGCGACATTCCAAATTCTTTGAGGGCATTATGGACAGGGAGAAAGATCTGGAGATCCTTCCTCCTTGCATCAAATTTCAGACACTCCAACTGCAACGTTGCTTTCCTGAGAAGAAGCAACATTCTCACGTTACTACTACCAGGCAGATTTCCAGAAAGTGTGGTTGGCATCGATTTGAACGGCATCATACGGTATCGTTTAAAACTTTCTTCCCCGGCTTTTCGGTTGTTGGCAAAGGGACCGTCGAAAGATGCGCCGAATCTTGTCATTTTGTAGCAAAGGGGAAACTTAAGAAGGGTGATTCAAGACTGGGTCGGGCGCTAAGACGACGTTTCTTCATTTTTTAAGACGTGTGGACTTCAATTCCCAGAATTCCCCATGCTAGCTGGGGAATTCTGAGAGTTGGAGGGCAATCTTGAAAGATCCGGAGGCTGAGAAACACGGTTAGTGGAACGTTTTCTCCCTCTAGTGGCCGCTTCTGGAATAAAAATCTGGTCCTTTGAAAGTAGAAAGATATTTTGAACCTCTGTCAAGTGTACCCCCAAATCTGAAAGGTAGGGTGCATTTTTCCAGGTGAAGGGAAATCTCCCTGGAGAAATATGGACCTCCCAAATTCAGTGAGACACTCCAAACATTGGTACGGTTGTGGTTGCGTACAACAATTTCAGTGCTGTTCAGCCTTTCGTTTATCCAAATCCATCTTTGAGTACAAATTATTTTCATTTCTTTCAACTAACCGGCATTTCTCATTCTTCCCTACGTCATCCCCCGAAAGAAAAAGAAAAAAAAATCAGAAAACATTGGGACAGACAGAAATAGAAGCTTCTAGCGGAGAAATTCCTCTTTTCTTGCAAAGCGTGATGAGTTTGCGCCACCGTTTAAAGCAGATTCGATTGCTTTGCAAGAAAGATAGAGCAATATACAGCTACTCCTCGACTTACGACATCTCAATTTCATGTCCGTTCAAAGTTACAACGGCACTGAAAAAAAAGCAACTTAGCGTTGTTTTTCCACACTTACGGCCCTTGCAGCATCGCCCTTGGCCACGTGCCCAGAATTCAGCACCTGACTCGTATTTACGACGGTTGTCGTGTCTCGGGTTCAGGCGATCCCCTTTTGCAACCTTCTGACAAGCAGAAAAAAACCATCTGCCGTGAGTCACTTAACAACGGTGGCAAGAAAGGTGATATAAAATGGGATAAAATTCACGACGCCTTTGTTTCACTTAGCAACAGGGACTTGGGGCTCGTAAGGGGTCGTAAGTCGAGGACCACCTGTGCAACCTTGTTCAGTATAACAATTTCCTTTTTGGGGCGGTATCCTGGACTGCTTGCAAGATATGTACGTCTGCGGGGCATCCTTATCAAATAGAAGATCATTTGGGCCGCCATTTGTCAGAAACGGTGTAGGGCTGTGATGGCAAATCTGTGACATGCGTACCACAGGTGGCACGCAAAGCCATTGTGTGGGCACGCGAGCCTCAGCCAAACTTACCTGCAGTGCGCATGCCTCCCAGCTGATTTTTGGCCCATTTGAGGCCGTTTTCGCCCTCCCGGAGGCTCAAGGGAAATACCGGAAGTGCCAAAACGGGCCTGTTTTTCGGCCTCCTGAGGCAGCAAAAGCTTCCCTTGAGCCTCCAGAAAGGTGAAAATGGCCTCCTCTGGTCTCCAGAGGCTCTCCGGAGGCTGAAAACAGGCACTTCTGGTATTTCCAGAAGGCCCATTTCTCGGCCTACCGAGGCTGCAGAGGCTTCTCTTGAGCCTCCAGAAAGGTGAAAATGGCCTCCTTCCGGTATTTCCAGAAGGCCCATTTTTCAGCCTACCGAGGCTGCAGAGGCTTCCCTCGAGCCTCCGGGAGGGCAAAAACGGCCTCAAAAAGGCCAAAACTCAGCTGGGAGGCGTGCGCGTGCGCAGTGCAGGTTAACAGGGCAGGGTGGGGATGTTGTGCGCACCTGCACAGGGTTGTCGCATTGTCACATCCCATTTTATATCACCTTTCTTGCCACCGTTGTTAAGTGACTCACGGCAGATGTTTTTTTCTGTGGGTGCTGGCGCACATGTTTTCGGCACAACAACAAAAGGTTCGCCATCACTGGTGCAGGGTCTCCTGCTTGGGCAGGGGTGGGGTTGGACTAGATGACCTACAAGGTCTCTTCCGACTCTGTAATCTGCGTTAACCCACCCAGAATGGCTACATAGACAGTTTCTCAACAAAACACAAATCTGTTCATCATTTTATATCTACCACGTTTTTCTCTTTTGTGAGCAGCCGTCCGGTGAAAAAAATCAGGCCATATTTGAAAGAAATACTGTATTATAATCCAAAATGTGCTTAGGTTTGGTATATTCTGAGCTCTGTTACATATTTAAGAGGTATTACGCCATTTATTGTGGGTTTTATACTGTTTTGTAGCATTTCCTAACCTTCTGTAATTAACAAACTTTGAGAAGAAAACAAATAAAACTGTTGACACACTCTAGCAATACGAAATCGCCTTTTTTAAGTTCTTGAAGCAAATTCAAAATTTTGTTAGAAATAGCAGCTGGGGTGGTTGCTACACCTGTCCTGCAGGTAATTCTTGATTTCTAATTCCTTTGGGAACCATTCCAAGTTTCAATAGCATGGAAACAGTGATTTACAACCAGTCCTCACACTTATGACCATTGCAGCATCTCTATACTCACATCATGAAACCGCGAGTTTCGTGTCAGCAACGGGTGTGCATTTACAACGGTTGTAGCATCCTGGGATCTCTGCTGTGACCTTCCCAGCTTCCGACAAGCAAAGCCAATGCGGGGAAGAAGCTAGATTCGCTTAATGGCTGTATGATTCATTTAACGACTGCCGTCATTCACCTAGTAACCATGGCACACAAAAAATGGTCAGAAAAATCAGGTGCAACTTACTTAACAACCACCTCGCTTAACAAAAGGGAAATTGTGGTTCCAATTGTGGAGACGTGGGAGCCTCATCACTTGAGACTTTCAAGAAGAGACTGGACTGCCATTTGTCAGAAATGGTGTAGGGTCTCCCGCCTGGGTGGGGGGGTTGGACTAGATGACCTACAAGGTCCCTTCCAACTCTGATGATCTGTTATCCCATAATCTTGATAAACGACGGCATTCTGTAACTGGGGTAAAAATGATTGTTTGCGATCAGAGTTGCATTTGCCCAACATTGGAAAAAATGAGGAAACCCCCTACGGATGAGAATATCATTTTAATTAATATTAGATTGGGCAGAAATGGATAAGTTGACATTAAAGATAAAGGATAAAGAAGATACAGAATATTTTTTTAACATGGGATTTGATTTGTTCTACCAATGGTTAGATACTAGAAGTAGAAATTAGAAGCTGGAAGGATACCAATGTGTACAAGTAAATACTATTATCCTTTCCTCCTCCTCCTCCTCCTCCTCCTTCCTCTTCCTCTTCCTCCCCTTCCCCCTTCTCTTCCTCCTCCTCCTCCTCCTCCTCCTCCTCC